ACAATATGTTGTAGCTAAACATTCTTGGTTACAATTTTCACAAATTCTTTTTGTTCCTTCATTTAAAAGAAGTTTGTTATAATCATAATTTATAGTTATTATTCCTATTGCTTCAGATTTTTCATTTTCCGTAAGTGATTCATCATCAAGAATTGTTTGTTTACTAAATTCATAAGCTTTGTGTGCACTACTGCGAACATTTGAATCCATTAATGCATATGATCTGACAATCGCATTATTAATTAATTTATTTTTACCAAATGACATAATGAAATATGTTATGAGGCTTTAGATTTTTTTTTTAAATAAAAAAAAAGAAGAAACCGGCGGTTTAACTCCGTAATTATACATATTAAAATAGTAATATGTAACCAAATTGGATGTTACAGTACATAAAGCAACATTGTACTACCTAAATAAGGATCATCTTACCGCACCACTATGCTTATGGTAACACAGGTGACATATTATGCAGGTGACAAATAGAGATCGAGACTACAAAAAAAATTTCAAGTCGCTGAGATAAATATAAACAACGCGAACGCGGCACGTGACGGTTAGGCATCACACCTTTCCGAGGTGGTGTGGTAAGATTTACCCCTAAATTTATGCAAATCAATGTATATGCACAAAAGAAAGAAAAAAAAATAGATTATCCTACTACCTTTATATGAATTACTGCTTCGATAGTTTAAAATCCATTTTTTTAAAAATTTCTTTCTTTATTGAAGATCATCAAGCTATGCAAATTCTACACTTTTCAACGATGAAGACGTAAAAAAAAGAATAATAAAGCACTACATACGTTACGTACTAATATAAATTTCCAATGTTTTTGTTTTATAATTTTAAAAACTATAAGTATTACAAATACATCCAGAAAAAGTTCCGCAGTCACAAATCAAAATCTTCCTATTATATTTCCGTACTTATCATTCTTGATCTAAGGATCTGCAAGGTGGAGTGTACAACATATGTCACCGTTCCACTATCTATTTAATCAATCATAACAACTTTCTTATTTATGGTCGCACAGGTAAGTATCATCTTTACTTCGCCACCCGCAACTGTCTCCAAGGGTTCCAAAGGTTGAAAGTTTCTCCTCATCAAAACTTTAAGATCATATAACCATCATCTTTACCACATAAAAAGCATTGTCGTTAGGATTGGTCGCCGTAAGTTGTAACTGGATGTAAACGTTATGACGTTTTACCGTAAAGTTGCAACTTTGTCGTAATTAATATGTGTCACGTGACTCGAATAATTAACTAAGTGATCGACAATTAAATATCCATTTTGAGAATTGATGTAACCTTAGGTAGCTCATTTCACGATTTTATTGGAGGACAAAATTTCGTTTTTTGGAATCTCAATTAATACGTTCATAATTTTTTTTTCTTTTGTTGCTATCTTTACAATACAATAATTTTTAACTTTAGTTTCCGTTCTTCTTCCCTCTTTCTATTTAATGATATTTTCTTGGCCGTTTCTTAGAATAACTAGATTTAACTTGAAGTTCATCAATTGCTATTTTTTCTTGAATTGTTAGATCAGATTTATCAACTATAGAAGAAATTAATACAATTAACAAATAAAATAAACAGAAAAAAAAATTACAAACTAGTTGGATGATATATTTAGCATGAATAAAAAATTCAGTAGTAAGTAAAAAATTATTATTATTTTTGTAAAAAAAAAAATAACCTACCGCTCATGAATACTTCCGCCGTCTGTGACTTCGTTTTAATTTATTTCCCATTTAATAATTCATTTGAATGAAAAACATATAAATTGATTATTAAATGATCCTCCTATATAATTTATTTAATATTAAAAAAAAAGGTGTTAAATTCCTACTAATGTATTTCGTACTTTCCTTGGTGTAAGCAACGCTTCTAATTTCACCATCATCATCATTATCTTTTTTTGAAAAAGATAGAATGAGAATACTTTTTTCTGAAAGGTGGCACTTTGAAATATTTAAATTCAATAAAGTTATATAACGTAATATTAGCCTTATTTTCAACAATATGAAAATTTTTTTTATAAAAAACTGTTAAAGGAATTAGGTACGAGTATTATAGGATAAACAAACTCCTAATTTCTAAAGTTAGTAAATTAAAGCCTGTATAACATTTCGTCAATATTTAATTAGTTTATCTTACAATTACACAAATGAAACATACAGTGATTGACAATGGTAAATAAATATAAAAAACTAGTCGTATACCGTATACATATTGAAATTTCTTTTCACCGATAAAACTAGGTAACGGGATCCGTTGTAATGTCCGAAGCACTCGTTTAAAATCACGCGTCAGGCGCGCCGAAAATCTGATAATCTGATCACGTGATAATAATCAACAATACATCTTATTGGTTAAGGAATAACAGCAGAAATTCCTGACGATAATATTAGTTGATGGCACGAAGAATCATCTAAATTTCGGCTACTATTCAACATGAAAATAATAAATGATAAATATTATTTAATGTTTTATTTCTATTAAAATTAGTGTTCTTATGACAGGAGTAGTAATGTTTTTATGCACATTAAATACGAACATTTTAAAACTTATTGAATTGGAGTTTTCTGGTTATTAATGAGAGACCAAGAAACCGAGAAATAAATAAACAAAAGTTTTCGGTCATAATATAATTATGATTGACTATAAATGGTAAATAATTATGTATAATTATGTGTAATTATGAAAGTCATGAACCGTTTTAACCGATGATCACCCTTATAATCCATTGTACGGTAACTGATGCTCCATCATATAACATTTTATCATTACATCTTCATGATTTAAAATATTGCCATCATGAAAATCACAATGAATAAGATTTTGTTTATGTATTTCATTAAAACCAGTAATAATTTCATGTAAAACATATGTAACTTTTGTTTCCAACCATTTTCATTATGTTTGTTAAATTTCCTCTCAAATTACCTTTGTTTGCATAATCCATTACTACCATATAATTCAGAATATCTGGATTTTTCGTAAATCCATAAAAATTGATAATATCATAAAATTTTGAACGTTTTAAAGATTATTTTATACATGCATAAAATAGAGCAAATCTCAAAGTTTCTTAAGTAAAATTTCAAATCATTTGGTTAAGAATTAAAGGATTTAACTATGTAGGACACTCTTGATGGTTCAACTCATTCTTACCTGAATTAATTAATGGTGATTCTCTTATTTTAATCATATTTTTTTTGGGTAATTTTGATGTTGATTTCCTTGATGAAGGAATGATAAACTACGTTATAGATGGTTCTTTAGTAAAGGAAATTATAATAATCAATTTAAGGCCGCTCCAACAAATAGTTTCGTTTAACATCACATGGCACAAGAAAATTAATGGGGGAGATCATAATAAAATTTTAAACATACAAAAAATTTTACAATCATGTGACTAATAAATCTAATTGACAAATAATATTTAATACAAAGTTGTTTGCTTAATTCCAATTTTTTGGCAAAAATGAGGGGGATTGATGTTAAACGAAATTATTGGAGCGGCCTAAGGAATAAACGCAAAAAGATATTAATTATTTGTTTTTATTTTATTTTATGTTATTTTTTTCCATATAGGTCGAAACCAAAATCATTCATTTATAGTATATATTTTTTTACGGAGAATAGTTTACAGTATATGACATTCAAATTTTCACTTTCATTACATGAATTATATTATATAATTTTTTCTCATTTATTTTAACGAGTTTTCCTCGTTTAACGAAAAGATTCAAAAGAATGCAATAGCCAATGTTACTATTCTAGCGAAAGATAATTTTCTTCGGATCTTTCCATATTAATGATTAAATATTTGCTTAAAAAAATGGTTTAGCGAAATTTGTCTTAATTATATGTTCTCTCATTTTCATCAGTTTATGACTCCGTCTTTATCATTTTTAATAAATTTTTTACTAGTTCAAGAGATCAAGTGATCAAGTGATCCTTTGTTTTTTTTAAAAAATTTGTAGTCATCGTTACAAGCAGGGTTGGGAAATTTGTATGTACTAGGTAAAATTTGTCCCTGTACTTGTACTGTACTGTACTAAATTTTATATTAATTATTATATGTACTAACTGTACTAAACTGTACTAAACTGTACTAACTGTACTAATTTCCCAACCCTGGTTACAAGGAAGATCTTACATTTGTGGCTTAGTATTATTCTTATTATTTAATGTATCAGCGTATCTTTTGTGATCGTATCACAAAGCAACTTCGATCTAGGTCAAAATATGGATGGGATCGATTTGGTTCAAAAATCAGCGGTTTGTACATTGGATAATTTAAGAATACAGTATATTTACTTTTTTATTTGAGGACGGGAACGATAAAATTAAATCAATCGAATGAACGACATGCATTTGATACTAACGAATATAATTTTTTCTAGATCATACATTGCCGCAGTTTAATTTATTAATAATCGGATCATGCCTAAAATATTCATAATAGAGGATGTTTGTATAAATAATTTTTTTATTACATTATTAATGGAATATCTCTGGAATCAAAACTAATTGTAAAATTGGGCTGACGGAAAGAATAGTATTAGATTTTATCTGACGAAATTATTATTCATTCAATATATTAATAATGTATTACGAGCATTATTAATTTTTGTGGCGTAACATGACTGCGTCATCACGTTTGTAAAGTATAAATTAATCATTTTTAGTAGTTCATTTTTAAAAACCATTCTTTTTCAAGTTTTTTGAAACGTAAAAATACTCCGTGTTGCACTTGATGACTTAATTAGGAAATAATCAACCGTTACTTTGCTTAAGTAAAAAAATTCAGGTTAATCAAAACTATAAATTTTCAAATTTTATAACGTTCACATGATGATCATCCGACATCTCATCATACAGGAATCCCATCACTAATTGTGATACAAATAATAATATTTTTTCCCTAAACAAAAAAAAAAAAAAAAAATTTCTTTTTCATAATTCTTTACTAAAAAGAAAATCATGATGATTTTTACAAAATTTTTAAAGAAAATTTTAGAATTTTTAGATAATGATATGGTAACACTTCATTCATGTTTATTAGTAAATGAAGAATGGAGTAAAATAGCGGTAGAAATATTATGGAAAGATATTTATAAAATTCAAGCAAGTGCGGAAGAATTATATGGAATTGAATTAGAAGATGAATCTGATCAAAATATATTATCTACATTATATTCATGTTTATCAAAAGAATCTAAGGAACTTTTAATTCAAAATAATATTATAATTGAATCACCTACATTAAAATCACCAAAATATGATTATCCAAGTTATTGTAAATATCTTGATGCTGGTTATATTAATCAATTAATTATTATACATCTTGGTGAAGAAAGTAAAATTTATGAAAGAACTTTATTAAAACAAGAAATTTATCAATTGTTTATTGAAAAAAGTTCGTCACTTCTTTACCTTCATTTTCATGATCCTCATGTTCCATTTCCTTATTTTTCTGGTATATCAAATTCTATCAATCACCTTCGTGAATTTTCTTGTGATACAAGCATTCCTCCTTCAATATATTGTAGAATGGCTCAATTATGTAGAAATATTAATAAATTATTAATTAAATGGGTTAAAGAAGATAATGAAGGTTTGGCAAAATTAATTCAATTACAAAATAATTTATATGATATTGGTTTTGAATGTGAAGATCAAGATAATTTGGAAGAAAAAATTGATCCTTTTATATGTACAATTATTGGTAATGCTTTGGAATCAATTTCAAATTCTTTATCCCATCTTTATATTAAAAATTCTTTATTTTGTATTCCTTTATCATCTATTTCAAATTTAACAAATTTAACTTCTATAGATTTAAATTTAGAAGAATTATTTCCAATTGATGCTTTGGAATCTTTATGTAATATTCATTTTCCAAATTTATCAAAATTATTAATTGGTGAAAATATTCCTCCTTTAGTATTAATAGCTAATTTTATTAAAACAAATGGTAGTTCTTTAAAAGAAATTTTATTTTATAATGGTTTTTATAATGGTGATTTGGATGAATGTACTATATTAAATCAAATGATAAGTAGAACTTGTTCAAAACTTGAAACTTTGATGACTTTTTGTTATGATGATCAATTTCAAGATATAATTGAAATTTTAATTTGTTGTGATAATTTAATTAATTTAATTTTAAGAAATTCTTCTGATGAAAATATTGATGCTACCCCTTTATTTACTACTTTATTAGCTAATTCTTCTCATCATAAACTTTCTAAATTTTGTGTTGATAGTAAAATTCATTTTACTCCTGATATTTTAAATTCTTTTTTAGATATGATTGATGATAAAAAAAATATTAATTCTATAATATTTTATATTTATAAATCTGGTGGTATTAAATATGTTGGTTATGATGGAATTACAAATAATCATTTACTTATTCTTGAAAGTGTTGGTGGTTGTATTTTAGATGATGATGATATTATTAATGATTTTTCTACTGTACCAAAATTTAGGGTTCCTTATAGGTATTCATTAGAATAATTTTTTCTTTAGTATAGTAATATTATATTAATAAATCTATATTATAATAAATATTGATATTCTCCTTTAAATATGTAAATGAAACAACGAAAAGCACATATTGACCTTAAACTTCTTAATACTTAAAGATCACTTCGTGATGCGAGCAACTCATCATCGCTTTTAAGTTCTTGAAGTTCATCATCACGAATACATACCTTCCATAGCTTTAAGTCATCGGCATCAATACCAGCAAAGGCATTACGTTTTTTCTCTTTAATAACATCCTGAGATGATATTTCAATCTGTATTATTATTGATAAATCTTATTCGTGATAGAAAATATAAAGGAACATACGAAAAAAGTTACATAATTTATTGAATTAAAAAGTGAATGAATTGATCTATGGCTATGTGAATTTATCAAGTCACTTTTACCTGATAACTGACGCTAAAGGAAGAGGAAAGAGAAGAGAGGGGGAAAGAATAAAAGAAAGGGAAACAGGTAATGACTATATAATGAGTATAATCCATGGGAGCTGAATTATTGCGTAATAGCTTAGAGGCGACTTAAAAAAAGTTTTAGTGTCGACATATTTATATGCAAACCGACGCAAAAAAAAAATTAGCTCATGCGGATAAAGTCACTCATGACTAATTGTATTTACTCTCAATAACGCTAAAAAAAATTTATATTAAACTATGGAAAAGTTTAATAGTTTCGTAATGGACGGAAAATATCCAAAAGGGTTGCAGTGCATCCATATAGTGATTGTTAAATATGATTTTTTAATTTCTTTAGTTTGAATAGTCACGGCTTTCGTTCATTGATAAAAGGGTGGGTTACCAGGTACGTAATACACTTTCAACTTACCAACTTGCGAGGTCAAGAGTTATAGCTATCGTGCTCCTCCAAAACTTTTTAACATACTGCACAAGTTGTCTTTCAACGGATATAATAACTTTAGCTACGTACACTTCACGTAGTTTAACAGAAATAACACCATTCTCGTATATGTCATTGTTGATGTTGAATTATCTACAAGAAGAATTGACACTAAAATTGATACAGTTTATTATCAATTTTTATTAAAATTATCTTTAGTACTCGGAAATAATTGGGGACATTTTTAAATTTTTTTAAATTTTTTAAAATAAAAATGAAAAAGTAATCAAAAGCAAAATAGTAAAAAGCTCTTTTCTTAATCTTTTAATATCTTTATTATATTTTTTTATACTTTGAATAACTTCATCGATTTTTTTTTGGTTTCCGCTAGTTCAGTTTTTAATACAAGCAAATGAAAGAAGTTCAATACACTATTCTTTCTAATTGAATTTAGAGAATTAGAGTTGGAGAAAGGATTAATCCTTTTTAGTCTTTTTTGCTGAAACGTCATCAGAAATGAATTTCGAGATGTTCGACACGGTACAACCAACAAGTACAAATAGAATCTTTTTTTCACTTTTTGCAAACCTATAGTCAAGGTTTTCGCTTCTTCTTTTATCCATATCTTGCAAAATAGAGTAAAAAAAATTAACACTGTGGCGCATCAGTACGTTTCGAAGCAGTTTCTAAATAAACAAATAAAAAATGATGAATATTATAAAAACAAAATAAACAAAATAAAAACTAGAGGCATACAGTCAGAACTCAGGAGTATTGCAGGCTGATCTATTTCTGGAACGTACGTATCTTCTGGACTTAATCAAATGATACAGTAATTACTTTAAAAAAAAGCTTTTATACCAGGTTTCACAAGAAGGAGTTCATCTGTGTCATCACACCAGATTAAATATTCCCGGGTGGTAAATCAATTTTAACAGCTATAAAGGTTTCTTGTTAGAATCCAACGCAAAGTAAGAGAATGTATGGTATACTCTATCTAACGTACCTTTGATGCAACTTATTTACGGCAACATGAAACTTATTTAATTGATTTGCGGTTTTAGGTGTTGCAGGTGGAGAGATGACAACATTAATATGTCTTTTGGGTGTGTCAGTTCAATAATCTCTGATACTTCGTGATGCGAGCAACTCATCATCGTTAATTTCTTGAAGTTCAAGTTTATCATCACGAATACATACCTTCCATAGCTTTAAGTCATCGGAATTCAATACTAGCAAAGGCATTACGTTTTTATACGAAAAAAAAGTTACATTATTTATTGAATTAAAAAAGTGAATGAATTGATCTATGGCTATGTAAATCTATCCATTTTGTTGACTTAAAACATGATAACTAACTCTAAGGTGCAGCGACATTAATCAGGACCTTTAGGGAAGGAAAGGAGAGAAAGGGAAAGGATGAGAGAAAAGGAAAAGGAAAGGTGTAGGTGAAGGAAGAGGAAAGAGAAGAGAGGGGGAAAGAATAAGAGAAAGGGAAACAGGTAATGATCATATAATCCATGGAAGCTGAAGTATTGCGTAATTGCTTAAAAAAAAAGTTTTAGTGGCGAGAAGATTTTAAAAAAAATCAATAGTATTGGGACATATTTATATTTACACACACCGACGTAAAAAAAAATTAGCTCATGCGGATAAAAGTTACTAATGAGTAATTGTATTTACTCTCAATAACGCTAAAAAAAACTGGAAATTTATATAAAACCATGGAAAAATTTAATAGTTTCGTAATGAACGGAAAATTATCCAAAAGAGTTGCTGTACATCTAAATAGTGATTGTTAAATTTGAATAGTCATGACTTTCATTCATTGATAAACGGGTTACCAGGTACGTGAAATGTTGTGTAACCTTTAATGAATAAAATATAGTCGCGGTCGACGCAGATCTAAAAAAAATTTTTCTTCCGTTAAAAATGTCTTTAAAATATTTACCCAATCGAATCTTATTTCAAAATAATAAATTGTTTAACATTAACTTATTTTCGTCCATTTTTAGACAACAATACCATAAAATTAATATAAGAAAAAGATATTTAGCAACGGTATCATCATCTACATCATCAGATTTATTAGAAAATATTTATGATATTGTAATAGTTGGAGGTGGTATATCGGGAAGTGCTTTAGCATGTGCTTTAGCATCATCTTCAAAAATAACTGGATCACAAAAACGTGTCGCAATAATTGAATCTAGTGATACATCGAACATTAAAGGATGGAAACCTATAAAAGGAGAATTTTCTAATCGTGTTAGTTCGTTAACGCCACGGTCTGTTGAATTTTTTAAAGGTATATTTAATTTAATTTATTATTTATTATTTACTTTTTATTTTATTTTTATTTCTATTTTTATTTTTCCTTTAAGAATTAATACTATCAATATTTCGAATATTAGGTATAGGAGTATGGCAAAATATTGAAGAAGAAAGAATAAAACCATTTAAGGATATGCAAGTATGGGATGGAATAAGTGATGCAAGAATTAAATTTAACAACGAGAATACTGGAATTGGACCATTAGCATGGATATTGGAAAATTATAATATTCATCATGCAATACTTAGAACACTTGATCAATATAAAGAGGATAGTGATGTCGATTTTCTTGATAATACAAAAGTACAAAAAATTTCTTTTGATAAAGAAAATAAGGATGAACCATTTGATTTATCAGATTGGCCTTGTGTTGAATTAAGTAATGGAAAAAAATTGAAAACTAGATTATTGGTAAAGTTACAATTATTTATGCAGTTTCTGAAAATTTATTTTTTTGATATTGTATTATTAAGATTTTCTATCTAATAAAATCATTTTAGGTTGGAGCTGATGGAATTAATTCACCTGTAAGATCTTTTGCCAATATTGATTCATTGGGTTGGGATTATAATTCGCACGCGGTCGTGGCTACTTTACATGTTGATTCAAACGTTGAAAATAAAACTGCATGGCAAAGATTTTTACCAACCGGTCCGATCGCTATGTTACCGGTAAATTATATTATACTTTAAACTGTGTAATATTGATATTTTTAAATTTTTAACGAAAAAAAAAAAATTTTAATAGCTCCAAAATGGATATTCTTCGATGGTGTGGTCAACAACCCCAAATCTTGCAAACAAAATTAGATCAATGTCATCAAATGATTTTGTGCACTTAGTTAATGCAGCATTTCAATTGCGTATGGCAGATTTAGAATATTTTTATTCACAATTAGGAGATGGAGAATCAGTAGATTTTCAAAATGAATTTGAATGGAGAAAAGATGTTCAATCAAAGAATTCTAATTATAAAGAAGAATTTCCTCCTATAGTTTTAGGTGTGCAAGAAAAGACTCGTGCCGGATTTCCATTAAGAATGAGAAATGCCGAAAGTTATATTAAAGAAAGAATTGTGCTTGTTGGGTAAGAATATATATATGTGTGTGTGTCAGAACATTAAAAAAAAAAAAGATTCTAATTTTGATTTATTTTATATTACATTTTTGTTAAAAAATAGAGATGCAGCTCATACGATACATCCATTAGCTGGACAGGGACTTAATCAAGGATTGGCAGATGTACAATGCTTATTAAAAGTTATTGAACAAGGAATTATCAACGGACAAGACATAGGTATTGTATTTTAAATATCTTATTCAAATAATATTGTGATCCTTGTGTCGTCAATAATATTGATTTTATTTTTTTTTAATACTGTACGTAGGAGATATAAATCTATTAAGAGAATATTCATCAGAAAGATATTTTGCCAATATTATGATGCTTGGAGTTGTAGATAAATTACATAAATTATTTGGTACAAGCTTAACACCTATTGTATTAGCTAGATCATTTGGATTAAAAGTTTTAGATAATTTTGATCCGATAAAAGTAAGTTAATAAAAATTTCATTTAATTTATTATTACAACAATAATATTTATTAACTTATAAACAAATTTAAATCTAATTTTAAATTATTTTTTTTTTTTTTTTTTTTTTTTTAGGCGGAAATCATGAAATTTGCTATGGGAGCCGAATGAAATAATAATATAATAATCATTTTTGTAAATATTTAATATTGAAGTAGATTTAAGTATTTTTCTTTTGGATAAAAAATTTTTGTACGAAAGGTTTTCACAAGTATTTTGTAAATTATATTTATTGATTTCAAGGAGTAATATTTAGGCGCATCTATATAGAACAATTAATTTTTCAAAATTTAAAATAATGAAAATTATGATAATGGCATAAAAATTTACTTATAAATACCGTAATAAATTTATTTTTATTTTTTTTATTTTTAAATCTCGGAGTAAAAACAGTGCCAGTAAATAGTAATGATAAATACCGTAATAAATAAACCCCACCCTCTATGAGTATCTATTATTCGCTTCGACTTTAAAAAAGGCCTTTCAAGGTCCATTATTGACATATGACTTTTAGATAACCTATATGTGTATCTATTGTCTGATTGGACCTTGTATAGCTATTGAGTGTTCTGGGACACATGTGTACCTAAAATTAATAAAATTAATAATATCAATATTATTATAAAATTCTCGAATGATAAAATTTTTTTACAAACCTTCCAATATTAATTTTTTTGAAGACCGTAATCAAATTTCATATATCAGCGTAAAAACTATTTTGATGGTCTTCTATACAAATCAAGGATCCACTGGATACCCCGATGGGTAGATTCGTAGCGAATAATTTTTTTTTATTAAAATTAAATATTAAAATTTTGGCAATTCATTTCAAAACTCATTTTATTACTTTACTGATACACTACTCCACTTTAGTTTAGATGTTCTTCCCTCGAATGACACTTGAATTATGTTGAAAGGTAACAAATTTAGATACTCTTATATCCATAACGCTAAAGTCGCTCGATTTTAAATAGTTATTACAATATATAACTAATAACCGTGATTATTAATCCAATTTACTTAATAAGAAAAATACTTTATTATAAAAAAAAAACTAATAACCGTGATAAAATCGTAAGTTGCCTGCCTCCCATGATACTATAAATTCCTGTACGAAAAAATTGGGCATAATAATTACGTCTGGAACTCTCGTCTAAAAACAATACATATTTTTTTTTTAAAAAAAAAAAATTAGTAACGCATTTTATTAATTATTTAAATCTTTAATTCATAATTTTTTTAAAATAGAGGTATGAATCTATCTATAACAATGCTATAGACTAAATTATGTAATCTATACTATTCCGTTTTCTAACTAATAACTAGTTTTCATAAACCCGTGCCAAGTCGCCCCAATAGACCTATTATCAATAATGCAATTCATCATTTTACTATTTTAATAAATTTTTACCGTTTCTTTTTCTAATTATTTCATTATTATCTCCTTTTTTTGTTTTTTTGTTTTCATTATTCACCCGCTCTAGTATATCATTCCTGCTTCTTTTATCTACTTTGCCAATTCCTTCTTCTTTTCTAAATTGATTACCTTCTCGCACCTTTTCTCCAAATTTGTTTTTCAATTCCTCGTAACAATAGACCCATAAGCTGAAAATCACCTTTCTTTCATCCTTATCATTAGTGATTTTGTTAAATCTATTATTGTACACACCTCTTAATAATTCCCACTCTCTTGTTTTACCCAATAAAATTAATGATTGATCAAATAATATACTCGAGAACGCAATATTTATATTTCGCACCATTGCTGCTTGATCTATATCGCCCTTTTCTAACATCTTTTTTTCGTAAGATACCATTGCGCTCAAAATTACCTAAATTCAATAGCTTCACATATCCAAATATGATCCCAATCCTCGACTTCTTTTTCGCAACGTATACATATATCGTTATCGATCATATTTGCGTAAGTCGGTAGTGCCTTCAGAAGATTTTTAATTTTGTAAGCACGTTCATAAGAATTATGATCGCTTGTTTGTCGTTTAGAGTACTTATTTAAATTGCTAACAAAATATAATGACTTATTCCAATCTAATTCATAAGTAAAATAAATCTTCAATTAGTTCACTATTTAAAAATTCATTCTTGTATTTAACCATAGCTTTTAATTTAGCTCAATCTCTAAACTCTCCAGTTATCAATGACTTGTTCCAATACAAATTAAATTCGTTTATTAACAAACCATCCATCATGATAGAACAATTAGGAAGTCTTTCTATTGTTGAATTATTCATTGATTTCATATAGTTCGTTAATTGAGCACTGACTATGTTAGCTTTTGTATATTCAAACTGATATTCATTTTTTCCAACCGCAATACTTATACTGTTTCTTTTGTTAGCTCTAATTAAAATAGGTTGCAAGTTCACACAGCCTGTTTGTACGATCATCTCGGCAGTATTTAAAATCTTGTATTTATTGATTTTTCAAATCGAAGATTTCGTTACAAACAGATTAATGGACACACCCGCACTAATTTTACGTGAAAATATAATTTTCATCATACTAAATGAAAAAAGATTGAAAATCCATATTACTATATGTATATATATAAAAAAAGATACAGTAAAAAATGAGAAAAAGTAAAAAGTGAAATATAAATATAAACAGAATTATCGATATATGTAATTACCATAGTAAAGAACAAAAAAGGTTTAGGAAATCTGAACATGACGACGGATGGTTATGAAATACGATAGCTCTGATCCATTTTCCTTGAATAAGACGTACAGTACTACCAAATTCTCACATAAAGATCGTAAAATTAACTTAGAATTCTAGTTTTTTTGTCCATTTCTATATTTCCTCCTACATTTGCTCCGATAAAATCACATAATATACTATCATTCACTAGATCATTAATCATTTGTTGCATATGTTACTACTTAATATGTTAATATTGAATTGGGATTTACCTTTATCCAAAGTTTAATTAAAATGTTACATGGTTACCGTTGGCAGCTTCTGTTCTTCTGAGGAAGACGTGTAATTGTACTTTTCAAGGTTATTCGAACTGATCTTCGTAATCTTTGAGATCTTCCATCATTAAATTTTCTGTTTCCACATGAAAGATACCAGTTTATTAAACATACACCGTACATTTAATTCAAATGAAACATAACATCCCACACAAGTAAATATCCTCTCTGTTTTTCGTATTTAATTCTCCTTAAATCCACTTAGCTCGTTCTGTTTGGTTGATACACGCTCTCATAGAATTCCTCGGCTCTTTTATTTCTTTTTCGATAGTGAATGGCGTGGTTTGAAGTTTGCTCAATTCTTTTTTCAGATGCTATGATAGTAAAAAAAAAATGATAAATAATTGATATAAAATGTATGGAGGTAAAATTTACGATATATAAAAATGAGCAAATAATCAGTCACACATACCATGTTATTTAATTTAATACGAGTCCGCACTTTTGCATAATAAACTACTGTTTACCATTCGATTAAAAAAGAAATCACATGTGCTCATAGTAAGAGGTAATTTCTAATCGACGCCGGACAGTTTATATAACCAATAATTCTTTTGTCCAAAATAACGATAATTTCCTCACATCTTCTTTCATTGATTTAACCACATTACTTGTAGCTCCATTCGAAATTATTTCTCATTCTTTTTACCATCAATTGAATTTTCTAAATTTTTTGTTTCTTTTTTCATGTATCTTAACAAGTTCCATTTGAATAACATCGTTCTCAAGCATCTCCTTCAATTTGATCAGATAGTGATGTCATTGTGACATAAATTTTAAGCAATGGATTTTTATGATAACTTGAATAAAAAGTTAAAGCCAATATATTTATTTAAAACTTTGGCAATTTCTATTTGTACACGGGATGTTTAAACATAGTAGATTAAAAACGGCATTCAAAACCTCCTTTAATGCCTTAAGTAAACTTGCAGAGCAGGTGAAAATACATATATTTATCTGTAATATAATAAGAATAAAAATTAAATGAGTATTTTGTTTGTAGTATTCAATTTCAAATTAAAAAACAAAAAATTAGTCTATTAAAAATTATATTTATATGACCTGTGTACAAACACCCCGTGTAAACTTAGAAATTTTCTAAAACTTTTTATATACATATTTCTTACATAATAATAATTTTTTTTTATATTGAAAAAAAATATTACTGAGAACTCAATTTTGTTATACTAAATATATTGGGCGTTTTCTATCAATTGATCATTTAAGAAATTTCCACTTTTTCCACTTGGCGTTTTTCTATTAAGATCAGTCATCCCGCCCCGCTTCTAAAAATAGATTTTATTTGTCACCAATATCACACCCTTCACGTTTCCATAATCCATAATTATCTGAGGACTAAAATCCCATTTGTCACACCCTTAGTCATCACTGTGTTGTTTCCACGGTCACGGGTTGGGACTTGTTGGGACGTGTTTGATTAGTAAAATCTATTTTTAGAAGCGGGGCGGGATGACTACTCTTCTATCAATTGATCATTTTAAGGAATCTTCGATAAGCCACTGCATGTGATTAATTTATTTGATCGCCGTTTGTTAAAAATGGAATTAATGAGACGAATTGGTTAAATGTAAATATTTATTGCATTTATTGTATTGTAGTGATAAAATAATTTGTAATTTACTGAGGAAAGTTCACGATGCGATTGATGTTTATCCTGGACGGACGAGATAAGGCCGTTGTCGGACCGATTCCCACATAACCTTTTCCCGACAACAGTTTCCGACAACCTGAGTGGACATTTCCCCGAAAAGCTATTATCCCGACATGGAAAATCAAATTATTAAAAATGTAACTTTGGGTTGAGTATATAGTATCTAACAATAAAATAACACATTATCGTTAGCCGAAAAACGGAGCCGAATTCCTGATTGTCGATCATCCGGACCCAGTTTATCGCATAGGAACATTAAAAGTCAATAAAATTATTGTTACGACGCGTAGTCTACTTCATAATTGATTTTGATCACATGTTTTATTGGTTGGTGTAACCCGATCAGACGTGTACCAGCAAAACTGTTGGTCCATTGATCGATCAATCAATCAATTCTGAAGTAGACTAGTGAGAAATATTGATGGCCAATAAAATTAGATGTATCACGTGATTAATTTCGAACGAAAAAAAAAAAAAGAAATAAAGTATAATTTTAAAATTTAATAACTATGTTTCCTATGATTCAATTTAAATAATTGTTAATATTCTGAAAGAACAAACAAAGCTTATCCTAATACTTTAAAATTATCTTAATCTGACATGGCTATACATAGTTATAACCATTTAAATAATTATAATACTAATTAAAACATAAATTATGTGAAATATATAGTTTATTCAATAAAACTTAAACCTATTAAAATATAAACGAAAAAATACTTAATTAGCATTTATTTAACTTTATATAATTAATTAAAAAGTAATATTTTTGTTCGAAAGTATAACTTTTAAGACAACTTTTTGCATAAAAAGAAAAAGAAAATCGAAGGAAATCTGTAAAAACTTCATAACTTGAAAACCAACTCTTACCTGGTAAATATCATACTTATAACCTTGCAAGTGTATAGTTTGTCATAAAAGTTTATAAAATCATGGGAAATATGCAAGAAATAAATTTAACAAAAAACTTTTATTAGAAGTAATTGAAAAAAAATCGAGGAAATCGGGAAATCAAATTAGTTACACAATTAGGGGGTCGAAAACGGCGATAAATCGCAGAAAATCCCATGGAATTCCACGACGATCTGGGTCCGGATCACGTTGCTGCGGTTAATTATTTTTCGGCTAACTACACCATAAATCGCAAATATTTAAATTTTAATTAGTTTTGTCATTTATATAAATATAAATTAAGATTTCGTTAATGTTAATTTCATTATAATATTTCAAATTAATAAACTTGACGATATTCCTAAACTGTAAATAATTTATAATAAATTTCATGAAATTAATTTATTTATTATATAAAAAAAATCATTTTTATTTTTATTTTTTCGCAGTAAAATCAAGTATTTTTATAAATCATTTTCGTAATTTGATTTCGAGAAATTGTCATGTCGAGGCAATATCATGTCGGGAAAAGTTCTTTTCGAGATTCAGAAATTTGTCTTGTCGAAAATTGCTGTTGGGAAAAGATTATGTCGGGAAAATAAATGTCGGGAAATCATTCCGTAACCGATAAGACAACCGTGTATTTACAATGTTAGATAGATTAGTTAGTTTACTTTATGTAATTAGCCTTATTACTATTGCATCATAAAATAGGAAATCAAAGAAAAAAAAAAATGATATAATCACAGTAAAAATTAATGACATACTTACAATTTATTGTACTTAACCGGAACAATGAACTTCTGTTAATAATACTACTACCTTCATCCTTTGTGATGATTCATTATTCCCTGGAGAAATAGAAGGAAATACTTGGAAAATATATACTTTTGGGACGAAAACCGTTCAAGCAATTTACAGTACCATTAACAACTATAAATTTCGTCAATATCCCCAAAAAACATCCCTTTCTTTCTATAAAAATAAATTGTGAAAAGAAAGCAAATTAAATAACAAATATAAAATTTTATTTAATTTAATTTTTTTTACGAAACTTTAACCTACCTGCTTTAATGTTATTTATTCGTTTCATCGAGTATAATATATTCTTTGATTTTAATGACGATCTTAGATTTTTTTACACCTCACAATAAATTTATTTATTCGAATTTCGAAAATTTTTTTTGTATTAATTTCATTTGACTTACGAATTATAGAAATTTCCAAGAAATATCCGTGCGAAATACTGCACGACGTTCTTTATTATTGATACTGACTTGACAATCCTCAATAAAAACAATATGATAAATGAATAATGTGTTAATCATTTTATTATTCTTCTTAGCCTAATGAACAATCATTTTACCGTTTTTATGGTCTTTAATGTAAACAATGTGAAAAAGAGCTGTTACACAACCCAAGGTGAATACAGTATAATAGGAAGAGAACTATCCTTATACCTTTTTTTTAATATTCTTACTTTTTTACATGGATTAATCATAATTTTTGATTATTAAACCAAAACTCTCAATTAAGTTAACTTACAGTATTTCATAAGTCATGAGCTTCCTTCCTTCATATATAAGCGAATGCAATTATTAAACTGTTTAGATAGCCAAAGAAAATATCGGATTTAGCAAAATTTAATTATTAACTTTATTTACCTGATTATAAAAACGAAGAAGACTAAATATTTTTAAACGACATCTTTTTTAAAGAATAATATATGTAATTTGTATTTATAACAATCGTATGAAATATTCATTCTCTCTTGAATATTTTTGTGGTAATTGAATAATTGTAAGAAGCAAACAAGTGCAAGTTTTACGATTGTTTCGTTTTAAATGAATATTCATCGGGACGAAAGCGTGTGAAAAATCCAAAATTTAATTGCTTAATATAAGGTTTATAATTATAAGTATATATAGTTTGGCTAATAATAGTTAAATTTACGCCGAAATAATTAAAAAAGTAAAAATGCGTTTATAAATTATAATAGTGCTACGTTTAGTACTATTATGAACGCAACTTAATGGAACTTAATTTCACTTTATATGATTAAAAAATATAGCTATCTATATAATTTTTTTGCTCTGGTTAATAATCCTTATTCTCATTTTTTAAATAAAGAGAACTTTTAATGTCAACAAAACTTCGTTGAATCAGTAATTATTATCTAATTATTTAAGCAAATATTTTGATCAACGGACCTCATTGTTTTTTGCATTTTAAATTTAACCAAAAATGAGCAAAATTCTGCATATCTGCATAAATAATTTCATTCGTTTAAAAAAAATAATTTCATTCAAAGTAATATACTGTATCTAATTTCATATGTTCGGAATTTAATTAGAAATTATTTAATTAAAACTTAATTATTATTTATTTATTTATTTTTTTTAACTATAAAAGTCTTTATAGAATTTACGAATAATACACGAAATACGTAATTCACATTATCTTTGCAGATGTACAGTATATAATCCGGGATAGAATAAGCCCGGTGACATTGGTTGCATTTTCTTTATTAATTGAACCATAAATCGCTAACTTTATTATTAATTGAACTATAAATCGCTAACTTTATTATTAATTGAACTATAAATCGCTAACTTTATTATTAATTGAACTATAAATCGCTAACTTTATTATGTAATTGTATCAATAATTTCATCATATGTAACGTACTCTTATTGTTACGCTCGTTAATATTCGACATATTGTGACAATTGATGATATTATTTGTATTGTTTGCGTTCTTTATTTTTATTGCATGAAAAAAAAGGTAAGAATATTCCGTGACGCCAAAATTATCTGTTTTTATCCGGCTTATAATAATGCAACATTTTTCTTTTGAGCATGAACTTTTTTTTTCACTAAAATTCTTTCCTTTCATTATCGCTATATTTGGTTACATATATATTACTTCTGTAATTAAATGAAAGGATTTAATAGGAAAAAAAAACATAATTAAACCAATATGGTGTATTGTATGTTAGTACCTTGAGCGATGGGGAAATTCGTTGTTTTCTCTTAATATGAAAGAAAAAAAAATTATATTCAGCAATTATAATCGTATGTAATGAAAGTGATGGAAATTCCCTTTCTTATAAAGTTACATTTAGAATCACGTACGAGAATTCGACGGCATATAATAATCATACTCCGCAAGAAAGTTATATAAATGAATGCTTCCTGGGCTTCAGATTAATAAAATAAAAAACAAATAATTAAAGTCTACTTTTCACATTTGTTCTTTAAATTGATTATTATAATATTCTTTGCTAAAAAAACCATGATCAATAATCTATACGTGGTCCATCATTCCTTTCTTTCTCCAAAGAAATCAACAACTAAAAGAAAGAAAAGATCTGCGAACTGTTTTCTTCTATTTCGTCAAGAAATGATGAAAGAAAGGCCATACAAGATGAAGATGTCAAATTACAGTAAACGAGTATCTGAAATGTGGCAAAATTTATCTGAAGATGAAAAAATTGAATGGAAGAGACGATATGAACTTAATCGAGAGTCTGTGGAGTCGAACGAACCATAATTTATTATCATTATTTCGAATTTTTAATCGAGAGATTCAGAAAACCAATTATAATCACGGATGGATGTCTTGGATTTTAATGGAAATAAAATCATTTTTTTTTGTTTAAGTTTAAAATATTTAAGTTTATTAATAAGTATGTTTTTAATTATGCATATTTATAAAAAAGAATAATTTTATAACTACTTATTAACTATAAGTAATATATTTCATATGATTATGTATGATAAATGACGAAGTTAAGTTAACAAACACAACAGTATGCAATTATAAGTTTAACAAGGCTTGTAATTAAACCAATTCATTAAGTAAATATGTACGTACAAGTATCAGTTAACTAATAAAATACGTCACTTTTTTTCGTTTTAAGTAATATTAGATACACCCTGCAAACTAAAGATTATTAAATATATCGCGTCATATGTCTTTTGCATTTGTTTAAGCCAACATCCCACTTAAATAAGCTAGTCCCAATTTGATATATATATATTATATATATATAGAATTAAAATAAATTTCTGGAATAAACCCCACGGGATCAAATGAGCTATATTTTAATTCGGGCAAATCTGTAAATCAAATTCATATAATGCAGGCCCGAATTATAATACGTTGATCAATCCGTATATCATTTTACGTTAGATACGTCGTACGCGAAATATTGCGCACATGATTTCCGATGTTGCATGAACGATTTACGTATGTTTGTGTACATGTCGATTTCTAATGTTGTATGCCGATATACGTCGATATACAACCGCGTATGATATTATTATATTTGATCATAATTACATATGTAGTATTAGTATAGTTATTTTTATTATTGTTTATATCATTTTATATTATTTATTTTCAGTATTTGTATTGTTTATATGTATACGATTTTATTAAGAGACATTGTAGGATAATTAGGTCATTTGTGTTCTATTAAAAAGTGGCTTACAATAAGAATTATCACTATTGTAATTACATTGATATATTACGATGAAACATTAATAATCAGATATCAATAGGATATCAATAAATTAGATTTCGTCTTGATGTCAGAAAAAGAGATGGAGAAATAGATATAAATATGCCTTCTGCCAACTCATCGATAGAATAGGTCATATTAAGATATACGAAGTTATATTGAGTCATATTAAGTTATATTACCCTAAGAAATATACCTCTATCACTTTTTATCGTTTTGTTGTAAATTCATAACCCTACGTTTATTCAATAAAATCGTTATACTTCGGTTAACTTTAACTTGTTATATATTAGGCCACACAAATTCAATTTTTCGGTTCACGTAACATTGAAATTTAAAATCGACCCGGGGACCCAGGGTTTATTGTTTATTAGTAAAAAAAGTTTATATATAAAATCGTGACATTTGATTGGTTGACTTTTAAAAGGGAGGAATTTATTTTCGCTCTAGAAGTTCTCAGCCGCGTGATAAACTTACCCGCCAATAAAATTACGTTCTGATCACATGATAAATTTTTTATATATAAACTTTTTTTTATTGAAATTTGAAAAAGTGACCCGGCCGGGTGAAGTGAACCGAAAATGTGGCCTTATTATAAGATTCATCTTATGATCGTCGTGTGCTATTATTAATCGTATTTTGTAGTTGTTTACCTTGCCGATTCTTAACGAACAATACCGGAATACCAGAATAGGTAGTATTGAGTAAGAATCCCGTTGGTAATTGTGTGATTATACGATTTGATACCTCTAGCTATACGACTCTTATTTGCCGATATATTCGGTAACAACGTAAACGCTTTATTTTTTTTATAGGGTGATCAATACGGCCTATTTGGTGCTTTTTGTCCTCTTCAATAGAGAGCGACTTGTAGCAAGCCTCGACACGAGGTTGGTCTGTAGATTAGTCTTGGACAGTGTGATTTACTTTAAATTCATCATGTATCACTTTTTATTTTATAATTAGTATATAGAATTTAATAACATTTAATAAACAACGTGCGGCTTCAATTTGAAGCCTTTTTACCGTAAAAAAAAACAATGATATTATAACAAAAATAAACAATTTAAAACTACTTATTAAATTTATTAAATTAAAATAATAAGATAATATTTGCCGTTAAAATTGTATGTCATTCAATATTGAAATCAAAGGGCTTTATTAACAATCTAGTACTATGACATATAATAATGAAATAAATCCTAATGTTAATTTCGCGACTTTAAACCAGCAGGAGTACGTGCAATATTCAATTTATTCAGTGATTTCCAATTATTTATTGCTGAAGATAGTTTAAAGCGAAAAAACTACTGGTTTATTATGAAAAAAACTTAAAAATAAGTAACTTGCTTAAAATTATTTGTATTTATTTTTGTTACATTGGTCATAATATCCATAATATACTATAAAAATAATTAATCATGCTCACCAGTAAAAACGATGTTTAACGGAAAGGAGACCCAAAAAACAACTGAACCGCGAATGGATCATTTGTGATTTGCAAAGGTAATCGACTTAATGTATTAATAATAAACGCATTTCTATATTTTCTATTAACGATTCTACGTCTTCGTCGTTTATGAACAATACGATTGAAATTAATAGAAGTAACGTAATTTAAATTCCTAGGGCTCTTTAACGTCATCTTAAATAATTAAATAATGAATATGATGATAAGGGTTGACGTGAATGTTGAAAAGAATGAAAGAACGAAAGAAAAATTTATTTGGTCATATTTATATTGATACTTGTGTAACACTGTAATAAATATGCCTAGACTTTCTCCTCAAATAAAAAAAAAAATTCTTCGAAAGAAAATTCCTCGTGCATATTTTTGCCACCAAACATGATTAGCTTTCTATAATAAATATTATTCAGTACAGCCTCTTTTTTAGTAAAATAAAATGAACCAAATAACAAGTCTAAAAAAATGCAGGAATAGTTAGCATATGAAATTCCTTTTTGTATTGTAATTTTTTTTTTTTTATTTACTGCGAAAAGATATTACAGTATTTGCACTTTTGGGCGTTATAAAATTATCCAATAAAAATTTATTTGTATCATAAACACATTATTTGCATGTAACAAAAATTTATTGTTGTTTGAAAAGATAAAATATAGTGATTTCCAAAAAAAAGATCCCTGATCTTGTAAATAATCATTACATACGAATATAGTATGAAATAAATGTCTCTTAAAAATGATAAAGAAGAGACATAAACTACTATATCAGACATGAAAATTTTTAGAAATATTTACGATCTCGTGATTACTATATTGTTTTGAAATTGTAAAAGTGCCAAGCATTTAATAATCGTCCGATTTTGTCCGATTATTTATCCTAAAAGTAAAATTACGAAAATTATGAATTTTTTTTAGGTTTAGAATTACGATAATAATAGTAAAAAGAAATAGTTTACCATGTCACAATCCTTACGAATTGGGTTGATCAAAAGTTACAATAAATTAATCATGTCAGATCTGCATAAAAAATTATTATTATTATTTATTTACAAAAGTCTTTATAACATTTACGAATGCACAAAGTACGTAATTCACATGATCATTTTGGCAGATAATCTGTGATAGAATGCATTTTCTTATTAATTGAACTATAAAGAACTCGCTAACTTTATTATGTAATTGTATTAATAATTTCATCATATGTACGTACTCAATATGTCGGATATTAACGAGCGTAACAATAAAAAACAATTAAATGGTTTTATTCATTAGTATTGTTTGCGTTCTCTATTCTTATTGCATAAAAAAGAAATCATGCTCAAAGCAAGTCTCATTATTACAAGCAAGAAAATTTGGCGTCCCGAAAAATATTAACCTTACTAAAACTCTTTCATCGCCTCTATATTTGGATATACAAAATGTTTTAAATGAATATTCGTCGAGAAGAGAGCGTGTAAAAAATCTAAAATCTAATTGCTTAATATAAGGTTTATAATTATAAGTATCTATAGTTTAGCTAATAATAGTTAAATTTACGCCGAGATAATTAAAAAAGTAAAAATGCGTTTATAAATTATAATAGTGCTACGTTTAGCACTATTATGAACGCAGCTTAATGGAACTTAATTCACTATATATGATTTAATATCAACAAAATTTTGTTGAATCAGTAATTATATTCATCAACGGGCTCATTGTTTTTTGCATTTTAAATTTAACCGAATTGAGCAAAGATCAGCATATCTGATAATTTCATTCGTTTAAAAAAAATAATTTCATTCAAAGTAATATAACTGTACCTAATTTCATATGTTCGGAATTTAATTAGAAATTATTTAATTAAAACTTAATTATTATTTATTTATTTTTTTTTAACTATAAAAGTTCTTTATAGAATTTACGAATACACGAAATACGTAATTCACATCATCTTTGCAGATGTATGTACAGTATATAATCCGGGATAGAATAGCGACAGACCTCTGTATTCAACGACCCAATAGTATTAGCTATTGCATTTTTATTTCGTTAACTAAACTAATAAAGGACTCAGTATATAAATGATATACTGTATTAATTGAAGGATTTTATTTGTATTGTTTGCGTTCTTTATTTTTATTACACAAAAAAAAAAATTTATGCTCAAAGAAAGTCGAATTATTATAAGCAAGATAAAAGCAGCAAATTTCGGAGTCACGAAAAATATTAACCTTTTTCATTAATAAACTTTTTACTTTCATCGCCTCTATATTTGGATATACAAAACATTTTCGTCATTAAATAAAATAACTACAAAATGAATATTGTTAATAGCAGAGGATATTTTACTCGTGATAATGATTTAAATTTAATTTATTTGCGACTGATGTGGGCAAATACAGATGCAAAATGTTTCATTTAAAGATCTAGACCCATATTAGTATATTTTTTTGTTTTTTTTTTAGACGTTTATGTAAATATTAACCGTTAAAAGAAATGATTAAACTAATATATACCGTATTGTACATTACGCTTGTATTTATCGAACCAATAAAAAACAATAAGATAAAAAGAATGAAAATATCATAAAGTAAGAAGCCTCATTATCTTGTAGTGGTGTTGGAAGTACCATTCTGAATTTCACTAGGATGGTTC